TATTCCTTTTATTCCTTCTTCTTGCCTAATTGCCCTGGCTAGGAATTCCAGGACTATGTTGAATAGGAGTGGAGATAGTGGGCATCCTTGTCTGGTTCCTGATTTTAGAGGGAATGGTTTCAGTTTTTCTCCGTTAAGTATAATGCTGGCTGTAGGTTTGTCATATATAGCTTTTATAATGTTGAGGTACTTTCCTTCTATTCCTAGTTTTCTTAGAGCTTTTATCATGAAATGGTGTTGGATCTTATCAAAGGCTTTTTCTGCATCTATTGAGATGATCAAGTGGTTTTTGTCTTTGCTTCTGTTAATGTGGTTTATTACGTTTATTGATTTTCGTATGTTGAACCACCCCTGCATTCCTGGGATGAAGCCTACTTGGTTGTGGTGAATAATCTTTTTGATGTGTTGTTGAATTCGGTTTGCCATTATTTTGTTGAGGATTTTTGCATCAATGTTCATTAAGGAGATTGGCCTATAGTTCTCCTTTTTGGAGGTGTCTTTGCCTGGTTTTGGGATAAGTGTAATACTGGCTTCATAAAATGTGTTTGGCAGTTTTCCTTCCCTTTCTATTTGTGGAACAGTTTAAGGAGGGTTGGTATCAGTTCTTCTTTAAAGGTCTGATAGAATTCAGCAGAGAATCCATCAGGTCCTGGACTTTTCTTTTTGGGAGACTCTTGATTGCTGCTTCAATTTCATTTTGTGTTATAGATCTATTCAGGTGATTAATTTCCTCTTGGTTCAGTTTTGGATGATCATATGTATGTAGAAATCTGTCCATTTCTTTAAGATTTTCAAATTTATTTGAATATAGGTTCTCAAAGTAGTCTCTGATAATTTCCTGGACTTCCATGGTGTTTGTTGTTATCTCTCCTTTTGCATTCCTGATTCTACTAATTTGGGTTTTTTTTCTCTCCTCATTTTAGTCAGTTTTGCCAGCGGTCTGTCGATCTTGTTTATTTTTTCAAAGAACCAACTTTTTGTTTCATTAATTCTTTGTATGGTTTTTTAAATTCTATTTCATTGATTTCAGCTCTGATTTTTATTATTTCTCTCCTTCTATTTGTTTTGGGATTTGCTTGTTCTTGTTTTTCTAGGAGTTTGAGATGTATCATTAGGTCATTGATTTGGGATCTTTCAGTCTTTTCAATATATGCACTCATGGCTATAAACTTCCCTCTTAGGACTGCCTTTGCTGTGTCCCAGAGGTTCCTATAGGTTGTCTTTTCATTTTCATTGATTTCCAGGAACTTTTAAATTTCCTCTTTTATTTCATCAATGACCCATTGTTCATTAAGCATTCAGTTATTCAGTTTCCAGCTGTTTGCATGTTTTTTATCTTTTCTTTTGTTGTTGAGTTCTACTTTACTACATTGTGATCAGATAGAATGCATGGTATAATTTCTATTTTCTTATATTTGCTGAGGCTCTCTTTGTGCCCTAGGATATGATCTATTTTGGAGAAGGTTCTATGGGCTGCTGAGAAGAATGTATATTGTGTAGAAGTTGGATGGAATATTCTGTAGACATCAACTAGGCCCATTTGATCTATGGTATATTTTAGATCTAGGATTTCTTTATTGATTTTTTGTTCGGATGACCTATGTATTGACGATAATGGGATGTTAAAGTCTCCCACGACTAGTTTGTTGGAGTTAATATATGCTTTTAGGTCCTTCAGGGTATGTTTGATGAAATTGGGTGCGTTGACATTGGGTGCATATAGGTTGATAATTGCTATTTCCTTTTGGACTATTTCCCCTTTTATTAGTATGGAATGTCCTTCTTTATCTTGTTTGATCAATGTAGGTTTGAAGTCTACTTTGTCAGAGATAAGTATTGCTATTCCTGCCTGTTTTTGGGGGCCATTGGCTTGGTAAATCTTCTTCCAGCCTTTCATCCTAAGCCTATGCTTATTTCTGTTGGTGAGATGGGTCTCCTGTAAGCAACAAATTGTTGGATCTTCCTTTTTAATCCATTTCATCAAGCGGTGCCTTTTGATGGGGGAATTAAGTCCATTAACATTCAGTGTTAGTACTGATAGGTATGTGGTGATTCCTGTCATTTAGTTGTCTTAGTTGTTTGAAGGTTTGATTGTGTGTACCTAAGTTGAGGTTACTCCCTACTTTCTTGCTTTTTCTTTTCCTGTGGTTTGGTGCTGCCTGTCTTTTCATGGTTAAGTTGGGTTTCACTTTCTGTGTGCAGAATCCCTTGAAGAATCTTTTGTGGTGGTGGCTTTGTGGTCACATATTGTTTTAGTTTCTGCTTATCATGGAAGACTTTTATTGCTCCATCTATTTTGAATGATAGTTTTGCTGGGTAGAGTATCCTAGGGTTGAAGTTATTTTCATTCAGTGCCTGGAAGATCTCATCCCAAGCTCTTCTTGCTTTTAATGTTTCTGTTGAGAAGTCTGCTGTGATTTTGATGGGTTTACCTTTGTATGTTACTTGTTTTTTCTCTCTTACAGCCTTGAATATTCTTTCTAGTTTTTTGTTGTTGTTTTGATAATGACATGGTCTGGTCTGTTTGGTGTTCTGCAGGCCTCTTGCATCTGTATGGGAATAGATTTCTCTAGATTTGGGAAATTTTCTGTTAAGTTTTTGTTGAATATATTACACATTCCCTTTGCTTGTACCTCTTGTACTTCTTCAATGCCCATGATTCTCAAGTTTGGTTTTTTGATGGAGTCAGTGAGTTCTTCCATTTTCTTTTCACAGGTCTTGAGTTGTTTAATTAATAGTTCTTCAGTTTTTCCTTTAATTACCATTTCATCTTCGAGTTCTGAGATTCTGTCTTCTGTTTGTTCTATTCTTCTGGATTGGCCTTCCATTTTGTTTTGCAATTCTGTTTCATTCTTTTTTCTGAGGTTTTCCATATCCTGAGTTGTTTCCTCTTTAATGTTGTCTATTTTCGTCCTGAGTTCATTTATCTCTTTATTCGTGTTCTTTGTTTCACTTTGGTGTTTATAGTGCTTCTATGGTTTCTTTTATTTCTTCTTGTGCTTTTTCAAATTCTCTATTTTTGTTGTCTTGGAATTTCTTGAGTGTCTCCTGTACATTTTGGTTGACCATATCCAGTATCATCTCTGTAAAATTCTCATTGATTACCTGTCGCATTTCTTCTTTTAGATTGTTGTTTTGAGCTTCATTGGGTTCTTTGGCATAGTTTATCTTCATTTTGTTGGAGTCTGGATCTGAGTATCTGTTTTCTTCATGTCCCTCTGGTTCGTGTACTAATTTTTTGCTGTGGGGAAACTTGTTTCCCTTTTTTTCTGTTTTCCCATCATTGCCCTTGGTATTGTTACTGTCCCTGTACTGTGTGCAATTAAGTATTTTTTAGCTTGTAATAATAACAATGGTGATTTTTATAATGGAAGGGTGAGAGGAAGAGAAAGCAAAGAAGGTAACGAAAAGGGAAAACAAATAAACAAGTAAAAAAAACAAACAAAGAAACAAAAAACTGCTTCAAAGATATAAACAGGGAGAGATAGTGTACTAATCAATAGTAAGCTAAACAGGTATTATAGAACAGAGAGAGGATAAAAAAAATAAAAATAAGTAAAATAAAAATTTAAAAAATCTCCAAGTTCAAATGCAATAAAGTTTCAGTCTTAATAATTTTGATGTTAGTCCCTCAACCTCCAATCCTGGAGATGGTGACTCAGAAGTAGCTGTGTTTTTGTCTCATCAAAAGGAAAAAACCAAAAAAGCAAAAAAACCCCAAAAAGACAACAAAGTGTCCCAAGTTCAAATGCATTACAGTTTCAGTAAGTTTTTCAGCATGCAGGTGTAGTTTGGTTGTTTTCTCATCAAAGGATTAGGAAAAAAAAAAGAGTCTGTAGACAGTTCTGTGAATGGTATCTGTGGCTGTGGCTCACCTGCCCGCTGCCTTCAGCCTGCTGTTGCTGGAGGTGTTATTTATGCAGATCTCAGGGGTGAGCTTAGCACTCACCTGGCCCCACAGGCTTTGTTTACTCAGAGTTCTGCTGTGCATGAGCCGCTGCTACAAGCTTTCTCCTTTCCAAGCACACTGGGGGAGGTGACACTGCACCCGCTTTCTCAGGCTGGCGTGTTTGTTTACAGCTCATGTGGGAAGTGGGTCTTCCTCCCTTCCTGTGGAGTTTTCCTCCCACCGCTGCTTTTACAAGCTTTCCTGCTTATGATTGCTGGGCGTGTGCCTCTGATCCTGCCTTCTCCGGCTGGCTTGTTTGTTTACAGTTCTGTGAGGGATTGCCCCTCCCCCTCTCTTCGGCACTCAGGGTGCCCAACCCTCTTTGCTACATGTCTTTTTTATTCTTATTGTTTGTTATTCAGTTTGTTTTTTTGTTTTTCCATGGGAGCGAATCAGTCTGTCCAGGGGGCTATGCTGAGCTGGCCCAGGGTTGTCTGTGGGAGTATGGTGTACCACTTAGCTCACCTGGTCATCTGCTTCTCCCAAGCTGGTTAGACACTGGCAGTGCAAGAGCCCTTCTGGTTTGTCCGTTTAACGTGGAGTGGAGATGCTATGCATGGCCTGGGGGTGTGGAGGTGTTGGAGTTTTACCTCTTCTTGGTGGTTTTTCCTGCAAGGTGTATCTCTAGCGTCTCTCCAAGGTTTTACCTTAGGAAGAACGCTTTTTGCTTCCTGCCTCTAGTCGCCATCTTGGAATCATCCTCCCAAGTTTTTTTTTCTTAACGAAGGTAAATGTTTATAAGAAAATTTTCTTTAAATTTCAGAATAAATTTTATAAGATTGAAAGGGCAAACCATTAGCAAGTTTGTGAAAAACAAATTTGATGATGACCTGCATAATACTTGATATTTTCACTTTTTTAACCCACCTTTTAAGGGGAGAAGGTATTTGTTTCAATATTAAGCAATAGTTTCAATGTGAAAATTGTAGAAACACTTGAATTTATTATATGTAATTTAAGGAAAAATGACATATTCACTTGGCTGAAAATATAAAAAAATAAAGTTGTAATCCCAACATTTGCATTAACTCTTTGCTTTTCCTATCTTTAGGACATCCAGGCAGAAATTGATGCCCATAATGACATATTTAAAAGCATTGATGGAAACAGGCAGAAAATGGTGAAAGCTCTGGGAAATTCTGAAGAGGCTACTATGCTTCAGCATCGGCTGGATGACATGAACCAAAGATGGAACGACTTGAAAGCAAAATCTGCCAGCATCAGGTCAGAGCATCAGTGTCAAAATAAAACTAACGAGGGGGGTTAGATTTTTGTCAGAAAAGGAAAGGGCAGTTGACCAGTACTGTGACTCTATCTGAAATCTATTTAGCCCCGTTTATATCCAGTGTTCTCTGCCAGTTGTTGCTGATGGTTCACAGGTGTTAATATCAGATTTTAAACCTCTTAGTACTACTACTACTAATGTTACCAATACCTGCTATTTACTGAGTATTCACTGTGACTGCATACTGTGTTTGGATCTTCATAAGGCCTTACTTTATTTAGTACAGTCACATGCTGTATATCAATATTCCCACCAATGACCAATTGCATAAAGTGGGTGGTCCCATAAAATCATGTTGCCTAGTGATGTTGTAGCCATCTCAGTTTTTGTAAGTCCTCTTTGTAATGTTCACACAGTGATAAAATTGTCTAATGTGTTTCTCAGAATGTGCCCCTATGGTTAAGTGACACATGACTGTACTTGAAAAATCACAGTAGATGACAAAATCCTATCTTCTGTGAAGAGACAGAGATTTAATGAATATAAGGAACTTAAGTTTTTGGAATAACAAGTACCAACTCAGAATTTGAGTCAGATCTTTTTGACTCTAGGCATTGAACATATTTTGCTTCATCAGGTTGTTTTTACATCCAATTTGAAGATGATATCATTGAGATTAAATATCTCTTATGGATACTAAAAGGGAAAACTGATGATTCGGTCTCCATTTGGAGAGTGTAAAATTCAATCAGTATGAACTTTTGGACCAGAAATCTGACTAGGAAAAGTTCTTCAAAAATTATTCAGAGTGACAGAATGATTAGTGTTATTTGGGGCAAGCATACTTTAAGATCATATTTAATGGATGTTAGTTCTCATTGGGGATAAGTTTAGGGAAGAGTGACTGAAGAACATGCTGTAGAGTGAAAATGTAAGAGGAATGTTGGTAGGAAGTCCCGGCTCTGTTTCTTTTGCTATATCATGTGTTGGAAACGTAAAATCTTAAACCAAATGGTGGTGAACTTGACTCTTCGACCATACTATTCATTGTTTAATCCTGGGCAAGTTACTTAGACCCTCTGAACCTTATAAAATCAGAATATAAGTATTCAACCCACATGATTGTTATGAAGAACAAATGAGATGGTCTGATATTTCCTACATCTATGTAGAACCCGGCCAATGTAGCATATAGTTTATTTTTTCATTCACAAGGAAGGTTCAATTGATCTGCCTTAATTGGATTGGTGGATTTCATACAATGACTTGACAGAAAGTAGAAATCTTTGAGGATTATTTCTTGTGAATGAATTTCTTAAGAATTTATTTCTGATCTCATGCCCCAGAGGCTTTTGTTCTTCTGTGGATCATAGAGGGGGACTTTATAATTCCTCTTACATTTAAGGAAGGGACCTCTTGGCCTGAAGATCATTAGGGATTATGTCAACATCACCAGGTGTTCTATTTTAATAAGAGGATAATTAGAGTATATAGTACACTGAGAGACCATCTTGATTAAGACTTGAATTTTCAACTGGCTAGAGCCCATTGGGTTGCAACTTTCTGTTCCTCATAAATATAAACAAATAAACATACAAAAATGTTAATAGTGAAAAGCATTCACTGTGGATCTAACAAAATCAGTATCTAGGCTAGTGAGCTAAAACTGCAAGGGTGGCTCTGGGGAAGATTGTACTCAGTATGCTAGAATTTTGAGAGTTGAGAAGCTGAGTTCTTTAGGTAGAAGGATTTAATGAAGGCCTATATCATAAATAGATCATTTCAAGTGGGAAACTATGAACAAAAATGTCTTTTGGTCTTTCTTGGAAGGTATTGCCTAAGCCTATAAAGTCTCATTTTCTCTAACCTGAAAAGGAAGAACTCATAAACCATAGTTGGATCATTATTTAATAAATTAATTAATGCTTTTTTTCGAAGATGGAGATTAAGTTTGTGTCAGTGGACCTCTGCATTGTACGGATATGTCATACATTCCAATAAAATGTGATAACGAATCAATGTGATGATGAATGAAAATATTAGCTTGATAACCCGCCTCAGGAGATTCAGACACTCATTCAAGTGTTTAATAAAGACTTACTTCTATATTAAGGCATTGCTAATCTTAAGTAAGATGCCATACCTGTCCCTGAGGGCTCACAGATCTGTTCAGGTTAAGGTAGAGTCCAAAGAAGACAGTGGTGATTCTCAGTTTATGTTATAATCAAAGGGTTCATAAAAGAGGTGGTTCCTAAGCTGAGCCTTGAAAAATGTACAGTGATTCCCAAGGTGAATTGGGTGAGGACTGGGGAAGAACATCTAAGCAGGAGGCTTGAAATTATAGTGTTTTAATAAAAAAGTTAAGACGTGCATTCTGACTAAGAATAGAATTTTCTTGGTGACGTGGTGGGGAAAAGACCATGGCTACAAAAAAAGCACAGGCAGAGGCAAGAGACCAGTCATGGAACCCTTATGTGCACCATTCTAAATTCCACTGGTGATGGAATTTGGAATCATTCAGGTGACAATATTGGGTTTGACTTTTGGGACAATCCCTCTCACACAACAATGGAGCATGCATTGGAGAAGCCCAGTTTTACAGATGGGGAGACCTACTAAGAGACACTTTCAGCATCTATAGAGATGAGGGCAGAGATTGAGTATAATTTCGTTTGCATTGTTGAGGTGCTGGTGAGAGGTCCAGGAGCAGATAAGAAGTGGCCATTGCGTGGATATCTGCTTTTCAAAAAAGAGCTGTAGGTGAAACAGACAGACAGGAGGAGGTGGAGTTCAGTAGAGGTGGCAGGCAACCATTGTGAGTTACCTGTTCAAAAGGGTGAAACATCCTAAGAAGGCAAAGCAAAGAGACCCTAGCACATTGAAACAGAAGGAATGGGTGAAGCAAACGGAAACTATCAGAAGAAGCTGAGAAACGGCTGTCCTAGAAGAGGGAAGAGACCAGGCGAGAAGATTGACAAGACCCAAGAAGGAGAGGACTTCAGAAAGAAGGGCATAAGGCATAATGTCAACTGATAAAGAACTGGAGCACTTGAGGGCTGCCCAGCTCAGGAGCCAGTAGAAGGGCTTTTGCCAGGGTCATATTCTGGTTGCAGTAGAAATCAGATTGCAGAGGACTCCAGAAAGGGAACGGGAAGTGAGGAAGTAGAAATAGAACAGTGTGCAGTCTAGTTTTCTCATGGAACTCTCCAATGAAGGAAAGAGGAGAGAAAACCACAGTTGCTGTACACATGTATCTAGCCTCATGAGTTTATAACAGCTGAAAGGCAGTATCTATCTATCTATCTATCTATCTATCTATCTATCTATCTATCTATATCAACCAGCTTTCACAAAGGTTGGATAAGCTTAACTAAAGAAGTGAATGATTTATTCTTCATTTTTATCTTCAAAAGATAGAAAATAAATTATGAACATATTTATTATTTGCATATTTATAAAAGAACAAGGTTTACTATCTCTCACGGGTTGTCACATAGGAAGCACAGGTGAGGAAGCAGTGGTAGAGGACAGTGTTGAATAGTGTTGTACTGTGGAGCTAGACTCTTTCAAACACTGGCTTTGCCACTTAGTGGGTTGGTTACTGAATCCATATGTGCCTCAGTTTCCTCATGTGAATTAAGACTTATCTTTCTTATATGGATGCCATTCATATTTCATTTAATTAACCTATATAAAGTGCCTACAGCAGTGGTGTGTGGTAAATGGCCCATCATTTTCAGCCATTATTATTATTCTCATTTTCACTTTGTTTGGTATCAGTTAAGTTGAAGATGTAGAAATTCTTCCTATGTTTGAAGACATAGAAATTCTCCCTGCTGTATCTTTTTTTTTTTCTTATCTTTGTCATTAATGTTGGGGATTTTCAAGAAGATCCCCAATAAATGCAATCCCTCTTTCCTGGCTGGATCTGAACAACTGCGGGGGGCGGGGAGAAATATGTTCTCAACAGTCAGGAGTAAGAACTTCTAAGCTATGGGAATTACTGGAGGAGGTGACTTAGAGCAGGGCTGTTAACTGAGTCCCAGAATGACAATTCCCAGCAGTCAATGTGGCTTCTCCTGTGGGACCTAGTGGAAGAGAATCCTCTCTGTAGGCCTGTTCTCAAGGGGAAAAGATGGGCTGAGCTCAGCACTTCCAGTTATTGGCTCTGAATACTCAGGAAGTAAAGGAGGGAAGAAAAGGTCAGTGTGTGTTCAATGAGCAAATCCCTTTCCAAGGAGTGGGGGAAAGAGGTCTCACTAACCAATGCAGAAGTGACCTCTTGCCTGGCTCCTTTGCTCCTTCCTGCAGATGACGTCTGTGGAGCTTGCTCTTCTTTCTGTCCTCTACTATTTCCTCTTGGTCCTTTAAAGCCCAGTCTGTCCCTTACATTCTCTTCTGTTGGGATCAAATTCTCCTGTGTCTTTAATATTTTGTAAACATTCCCACACCTTTCCTCCATGATTAATTGAAAGTTTGCTTTTCCCTTAATAGCCTGCTTTACTTGAAATACTCCTTAATGAAGGTTGATTTTGCTCACCTGAAAGCCAATACTCTGAATAGTTATAACTGCTATGGACACTAAATATCAGAATCCCAGCCATAAATTGTCCCTGGAAGCCACTGTGGCTTAAACAGTGACCTGTCACACAAGGGTTAAGAGAAGAACTTGCAGCCTTCTGTGACTACTTCTTAAGCCTTCTCTATCTCTCAACTTCTTAGAAGCTAATGCATCCACAGCTCTACCCTTTTGTCATCTTATTCCTGCTTGCTCCTAATTGGTAGGTCACTCTTGTGTATATCTCCTTGATTTGAGCATTCTACTTATTTTCTGTTCTCTGTCTTTTCCTCGGCTGTCATCCATATTGGTAAATTTTTTCTTTTAATTTCCAAGTTTCTTTTTACTTTATCTGTAAAAGCCTTCAGCCCTATTCAAGTCCCATAGACCAAGTCAACCTGGGACTTGGTAAACATCCAGGTCATCTTGCATCCCTGAGAT